GATTTCGTTCATTTACACTGTTTCACATCAAGTCTGTTCTCATCTTTATAGATTCTTTTCACCAGTTTGAGTAGTTGTATTCTATAATGCTTTTCTAAATAGCTTTTTGAAGATCAAATTAACATTTGAAGCCCAACAGCTGAAAACTATAACTTAGGAGATGGTGAGCACCTTCTATAATCTAAAACCCTAACAGGAGAAACGTACAATGATTTGAACACCATATGATTTTGATGTAAATTTTTTTGTTTGTGATAGAAATCATTGCATACTATTATTTTTTTTAACATTCTATTTTAACCCTGGATAATAGCTTATTATAAGTTATATGACCTCAAACATTCCTTAGACTTCCCTCAACTCTAAAAAGTAGCAAATAAAAGAGGTAATATCTCTAGACAAAAACAAAAAAAAATGTCTGAGTTTAAGATCTACACCTCTAATGTAGAGAACATCTTCAGATTCTCAACAGTTTTCCTCCAGTTTTAGATTTTTGGTGTGGTTAGATGTACCTCAAAGGGGCTAACCTACATCAATCATTGTTATGTTTTTTGGTTTTTGTTTTTTTTTTTTTTTGGTCTGCTAACTGGGTTCAGTTGAAATTCAAAAGATTTTTGTTCTTATAGTCACACAGACTTGTTCTTTTATAGAACTTAAGTCTTGAAATCTCTGTATTTCTGCTACTCTGTGTATGTGTATGTGTGTTTAATTTAAAGATTGACTGATTGACTTATGAATACAAGAACTGTAGTACAGGCCAGGTGAGGAGTGAGAGGATTCACCAGAGATAGAGTGGGGAGCAGAGCAGGTGGGTTGACTGAAATGCCCTGCTGAGGGGAGCAGCTGTGGAGACAGAAGAGGTGTGCTGCGCCATGTGGGTCTAGCTCATGCAACAGTGGCTGCAGATAGCTTCATGGCGCTGCCATTTAACCCCTTGGCCACCAGATAGGCCCCTCTGCTACTGTATATTGCCATTGAATGAGAATATTTCCTTTTGACATCTGCTTAACCTATAGCTGTAAGTAGAGTTCATGTAACCACATTGAAATTCCTGTAGCCCCAAAGTTTCTGTAAGTCACCTGTAAAATTAACTTTACAGTGACACGTTACGTGGTTGAATGTGAACTGAGTCCCTTTCAACACTACTTCCGGCATAGTAAAGTGGCTGGTCTTTGACAGTGGCCAAATGTTAATCAATGCCGCATAATGACTGCAGCTACTATGATATAGACTGTGGGGTGAGAGTCTGTACCATTAGCAGAAAATTTGGATTTGAGCATCACCACAGACTCTTCATGAAAATTCTGCTCAGTTTTGGCATTTGAAATATTCTTTCCATGAAATTTGCACCTCTCTTTGCCTTCTAGTATCCTCATTTAGTTTGCCTGTAGTTGACCTTATTTCCTTCATTAAGAACAGGCCAACTTCAAGTAAGGCAACACTGGAGACATGGAAAGAAGACAGTTCCAAGAGACACTTAAGACACAGTATCTAGACACCTAAATTGGTGTTAAAACCATTCTACTACTCTTTCACCTATCTCTTTTCATTCTTTGTTTACATTAGCTCACAAGGATAAAATATATCACTGAATTTTTTATAAGTCCTTCTTTAGACTGATTTTGTACCCTACCTGATATGTATGAGCTAATAGTAATACTTAATAGATGTATCTTGTCCGGCTTCAGATAATACCAGAAACTGAATTGAAATGATTAGTGGCTAGTTCTGTTAATAGGACAACTTTCCTGCATTTTGTTCAGCTTTCTAGCTTGCCTTTTTTTCTCCCTTGATTAATATCTGCATCATCCTTCTTGTCACTATAGATAGGAGAGGACATTCACTTGGTAATTTACTCCCATCCTCGATGACATTTTCCTGTTAGTCACTGAAGCCCATTACTGTGCTATTACCTTTGTCATATTTTCAGAGAGAAGGATGCAGAATCCTTCTCTTAGAATCTTTTTTCAGTCAAGAAGAAAGGTGCTGAATAAAGTCTAAATAATTTTGCTGGTTAGAAAGCATATACTGATATTGTCCTTTCCCTTTGTGCTCTGGACAAAGCGTAGTTAGATGAACCTTTATGTTTTTGACAATGTTTCTCTACCTTCCTTTGGATCCTGTTTCTATAAGAGCATAGTTCTTGATTCTGAATTGAGCCAAGTTGCATCTGAGATACTAAACATAAACAAAGGAGTTATCAGAATTCTCTTTCAATTTTCATCTGTATTTTTGAATAATACAATGCGTCATGGGGGTGGGGGAGCATAATCTGATCTTTTATAGCTAAGTTAATGTTTATTTAATACTCAAAGATAATAAGAATGAAAATCTAAGAGAATGAGTGCTATAAATGGGTTTATTTCCTCTGGAAATAGCACTACCAGTTAATGCCTTTCCTTTTATTTTTACTTTAACATATTTGATAAAATTGCTGTTTCTCTCCTGGTGTTTTTTCTTGTCATTGAATGCCAGCCAGATCCATAAAGAATTCATCTCTTTCAAGCTTGGATTGCAAACCTGGTCATTGAGAGGAAAATGGTTGAGTGGAGAAGCGATAAGGCCATTAGAAAGCCATAAAACAAGATCAAACATCAGGACAGATGAGACATTTTGTATCCTTCGCTTTCTTGGAAAGGGTTTTTCTTTCTGCTTACATTCTAGCATCTTTTTTATTCGTGCATTAGCTCCACAATCACTTCTCAACAGGCAAACCTTGTCTGATTTCAAGTACTAGTTAATTTTCTAAGGCAGTGGTTTTCAACCTGTGTGTACATTAGAATCACTTGAGAAACTTTTTAAAATTCTGATGCCCAGGCTATCCCCCAGAACCATTAAAGCACAGTTTCTTGGGGTGTGAGCAGGCATCATTATTTTTGAAAGTAATAACCCTCCCTCCCACCACCACCACCATACACACACTATACACACAGGGGTGGTTGGTTCCATTGTGTACATAATGGAACACAATTTGAAGTAGCTTCTAGTACTGTTAGAAAGGTTGAGCTTAGTCTAAGAAACCTTCAGATTTTTATAAAGGAGAAATAAGAGCTAAGGATCCCCCTATAGTCAGACTGTCATTGCAATCTTATTTTCTATGACTTCTTAAAATAATACATACCTATCCTGTTTTCCAGTTGAACTAGACTATTCTTCTTGATATGTCCTTCCTTTGTTTATGCTATTTGAGAAATAACTCTCCCTGTTTTTGCTTTTTATAATCTCACACTACCAACCCTTTGAATCTTCTTTTTATTATCTTTTAAAAGGTTAAGAAGGTATCTTTTAAAAGAAAAAAGGCCTTTTTCTTCGAACTTTCCTTCTCTGCTTTAGTATATTCTGAATGATTTTGTGTTCTCTCATTTCTCTACTAGTTTGCAAAGTCTAGGTCCCATTCATCTGTGTATTCCCTTATTGCCTCATATTTTTACATTCCCTTCATGTCTTGCACCGAGTATATATGACTACATAAAGGTTTTAATAAAAAGGAATTTTATGCTTTTCAGCTGTCATGCTGCAGATGTGTGTGCTATCCTAGTAGAAGGAAAAAAAACAGCTGTGTAATATTTTCTGTTTGCTTTCATCATTTCCAGTTATTTAAATTTTTTATTGTAATTGCGATTTTTGTTTGTTTACTCATGTACTTTTATCCATGTCCAATCATGAAGTAGTTTTCCAGAGAGGGAAGGGTTGGAAATGTTGACTCAGATTTGCAGTGCTCTGTGTTTAATGTTGAGCATACTTATTAATGCCAGTTGTGAAGCACCAACCTGTGTTACTTTTTGTCATAGTGGAACAGAATTTAAGCAGAGGTCTCACTCACAGTTTTTCAATATAGATTATTTTTTAAAGTTCAGCAGCCTGGTTTTATAAGTGTTTTATGTATTTGTTCATTGAGAAGATAAATAAAATATCTTATCCAAACCCTAAAGCCAAAACAGTTTCAATACAACTATAGCACAGAGATCTCCAGGTTTCTACCACTTACTGACAAGAGGATAAAGGAAAGTTGTATCGAAAGCATTTGGTGATTCAAAAAGGGAATTTTAGCCACTCAGTGAGAGCTAGGGAGAAACAAATGTAGAACTATAGCAAAAAATAAAACAAAACAGGTGGTTTTTGCCTTTTAAACAGCACCATTGGCCATGTGTATGTGCATTTTATGTTTCTTCATACCAGCTGTTTTCAGCTTCAGCTCTTCTTGAATGCTTTTATTATGGAAAACTGACTTCAGAGTGAAATATATCAGCCCTTAGGGAAAAAAAAGCTAGACTAAGACCATGTGAATTATTTTGCCATCACATAGCTAAGCAAGTTTCTTCTGATTCTCCCAATTTTAAGTTAACAACATTTAAAATGGTCTACTCCAAATAAATCACAATGCATCTCCTTAGTAAATAATCTATGAGAGAAATTATAAGCACTGCATGTCTTTCTCCTTCTCCCCCAGGTAGGAGATCTTCCTATCTCAGTTGTTTTCTTTCTTAGAAAAGTTCTAAATCATTTTGTTCCACCTATAATTTTTAAAAGTTTGAAATTGTCAATTTAGTACTGGTTTGACACCCCTCCCCAACCACCACCACCACCAATGGGGCAGCAGGAAGCACATAGTAGTTTTCTCTGCTTTCCTGCCCCCAACTCCACCCCGCAAGTTTCTTCTTACATTAAAAAATAAAGCATGACTGCTTGGAGATAGTTTCTTGAACTATGCAAATGCTTTTAATCCTGTATAGGTTTTAGAGAGGAAAGATTGGATCTGGAACATCTCTGAGAGGTCCCAGCTCCATTTTCTTTCCAAATGTTCACCATCACTGCTGTTGCTCAGTTCTCCTAGGTTATGTTCCTTTGCGGTCTAGAATTTCTTTAGGCTTTGGGAGACAATTTGAATGGCGTGTATTCTCAATAACTTCATAGAGCAATTTACAGATTCTATATGGGCATCTAGTACTTAGTTAAATGAACTCTACCTCTCTCTCCTCTCTCTCCTTTCTCTCTTTCAGCTTGGCAGTGACCTTGGCGGGGGCATTGGAGGAAGCCCGGCAGTAAGTGCCATCCATTTTTTTCACCATGGGATGGGCTGCCCCGTTTGATGCCTTCCTTGTGCACACATTCTCAGAGCAGCCACTCCTGCTGCTTAGCACTGTACAACAAAAGTTCTATTGCAGTATATTAAGTGTAGCATAGGGTTGCTTAGAAACCTTGGGGTCTTAAATACCACATATGATGTGGGGGCATCTTTAGGGATTGGGTGCTATAGGATCTTTGTCTTCCTGACATTAAAGAGGTAAAGGAAATGAAACCTCCTATCTTGACTAGAGAATGCTTTCTCTGGTGTCATCTAGAAATAACTTGAGTTAATTGAACTCAGAGTGAAACTCTCCTCGTAAGAATTAGTTTGGGGGTTGTGAATGTCCATTTCCCCCAGGAGAGTTTCCTACTAGATATTTACACCTAAGTGGAAGAGTAAGACTCACTTGGACCCAAATGCAAATGGAACTTTCTTCTTACTACAGAAACAAAGCTCCCCCTTCATTAGGGTGCTTGTAGGCCTTTTGCACGGAATCATGGAAGCTAAAATTGGAAACAAACAAAAAAGTGGATCACTGTGTTCCCGATCCATTGTTTATTCTCTTGATAGAACTTCTAAAGAATGTGTGTCTTATTAATGATGAAAAATAACCATGATGATTGAAAGGACAAAGAATATACTAATGCACCATCTATGGCTTTTGTAATTCTGGTGTGTTCTTAATGATTTACCAATATTACTAAAATATATAGCAGCATTTTGAGGACTTTTAATCCATTTTTCCTGATTCCTCCCTCCCCCCCACAGGTGGGACAGTCCTTCATCCCATCATCAGTACCTGCAACCTTCGCTCCTTCACCTACCCCTGCTGTTGTCAGTAGTGGTCTGAATGACCTATTTGAACTCTCAACAGGGATAGGCATGGCACCCGGTGGATACGTGGCTCCTAAGGCTGTAAGTAAAGCAACATTATTTTTATGGACCTGAATTACTTAGCTTCTATCATTCTTTTTATTTCCACTGATAATAAATCCAAGATTTGGCCTTATTTGGAGAACTTAAGAAAATAAAAGGTGACTTCAAATTTAGCTATTTGAAGCACCATAGTACCCTCCTTAACCATTTTTATAATTAGACCCAAGTTGAAAATGTTAAATATTTTGAGTTTGATTCTCATGTTTAGAAATATTGTCTAATTTTATGAACACTAAAGTCAATCTAGTATAATTCTGATAGTTCTGATTTAGGTTTATGTGATTTGTATTCTAGTCTTAGCTTTGTTTGATGTCATGCTCAAATTGAAATCTAAAAGGAAGAACTCACTATAAATGAGTTGGCAATAGTGCTATTCAGGATAGGATAGACTTACAATCTTGCCTTTTTGAAGAACAAGCATACCTGTTTACTTCCTGAATTTTATGCCTCACTCCTTCTTGGGGGTCCCTGTGACAGAGGTAGATCAGCTGTTGCAACTTTGTATACAAAAGCCATTGTATAGGCTAACAAAAAATTAGATTCAGGACTTAGCTGTGATGTTTTGCCACAACTAGGTAGCTTTGTTGTAAGATGACTGTGTTGAATATTATCAGATACTTTATTAGATGTTATTTCTATATATTACATATAGTATAATATATATTTATTATCAAGTCCCCATAGACTAAATTAGTGATCAAAAAGTTCATGTATTTTTTGCTAACATTAAAGTAATCATAGAAACTACAAATTTAGATAGAAATATAAGTGAAAAAGAGTCTTCTTTTGTCTGTACTATTAACTTTCAGAAAATATTATGCATGTACTTATATGTTGTATCTTTTCAAAATACTGTGTCATTGGGATATACTATTTTGCATTTTATTTTTATTCTATCGAACTTTTTTTGTTCTTTGTAATATATTTTTTGAGGCCACATTGGTTTGTAACATTGTATGTAAAGATATAGAACCACGCTCTTCAGGGTATCTTTACATGTCATACCTACCACAAAGGGATCCACAGTCCTCCACCTTAGTCCATTGAACCCCCTCCCCACCTTGCCCTGACTTTTACTCCTCCCACTGTGCTAACTTTGGTTTGGTTTTGTCTGACCCTTTGTTTTGTTTCGTTTCTCTATGTTCTACATGTAAGTGTAGCCATCTAGTATTTCGTTTCCCTTGTGACTTACTTCTCTTAGCATTATCACCTTCAGTTCTAGCCATGCTGTTGCAAATGGCAAGTCTGTCGTTTTATAGCTAAACAGTATTCCACTCTCTCTATATATTTATGTACTACAAATCCCTAATCCACTCGTGTGTCTTTGAGCACGTAGATTGTTGCCATTGGAGAACATATATCCCTTCAAGTTTTTGCTTTCTGTAGGTAGATATCCGAGTGGAATTGCAGAATCATATGGTACATCTACTGTTAATATTTTAAGAAGCCACTGTTTTGCATAGGGGCTGGCTGGTCTGCATTCATAATAGCAGTGTATGATGTTCCTTTTACCACATCCTTGCCAAAACTGACTGTTCTGGTCTTTTGGATATGGGCCATTCTCACAGGTGTGAGTTGTCTACCATGCTTTTTTGAATACCCATACCCACAACTTTGCCATTTTCCTATTAATAGACATTTTGGTTACTCTTTTGATCCTCCTCACCCTCTACCCATTTTTTGTTGTTGTTGCAGTGAACACCCTTGTAAATGTATAGTCTAACATATTTTTACAAGGTATTTATTGGATAAAAGTGCGGTTTGTTTTAACATTAAACATTTTAAAATTAACATTACCAATGTTAACCCTCCCTCCAAAGGATGACATCAGATTACATTCCCAATACCAGAATATGAGTTCCAGATAATTTAATTCTCTTTTTTCTATTTGTCTAGACTTTTTGAATTTTTGACCCCCTCATAGGTGAAAAATAGTATCTTGTGTTTGATCTTATTTTCTTTCTTCTTTTTTTTTCCTTCAGTGTAGTTGAGACCTCAGGTTATTTTACCACCCTTTGGTTCTTTGGTATTATGTTGTAGACTCTTTGGTATTCTGTCGTAAGTGGTCAGAAGAGTACACAAATATTCTGTTGTTGTTTTTTTTTAACCTGGCACAAGTCAGGAGTATCAAAGATTTTAAAACCACAGACAGGTAATACATGAATTAGTACTTTAGAGAGGATAGGCATTCACATTATTTAAGCAATAAAGTATTAGTTTTTACTATAGCAGAGACTATTAGTAACGGTAGTAGTAGCTAGTATTGATTTTAGTGATGAGAAAAGAATTGTTTAAATTTCATCACACATCACAGTCAGGGTAAATTTCACCACCTAACTGTAACAAATATTCCTATTACATGTATTGGAAGACACATGAATAAAGAATTGAGGAAACCTTACTAACCATTACTTAGAATGTAAAAGCAATAAAATTATTGATAAATCTAACTAGAAGTAAAATGTATTGCTTATCAAGACACTATAAAGCTCAAGAAAAATTATTTTAAAAGAAACAACACATCAAAGAAAGTCAAAGACAATGGCACATAGGAGAAGTGTTTGCAATATATCTCATAAGGCTAATATACCTGATATATAAAGAGCTCCTAAAATACTTCCTAAACCACGATAACACAGCGTAGAGTATTAGCAGAAGAAATAAACAGTTGATAGAATAAGAAATGATAGCAGCCCTCAAACATCTGCAAAATACTTACCTTCACTCAAAATATAAACTAAAAATACAAACTAAAAAACTATACTGAGATGCCATATACTAATCATTTTATCAATTTGGAACAATCCAGAATGGTAATAGTATATCATTAGGAAAGAGGATCTCTCATACATTCCTAATGAGAAAATAAAATGGTGCATTCCCTACTTGGGAATGATAAAATTTGGCAAGATTACACACATCATTTTGCCCTTTATCCCTGTAATGCCATTCATTTCAAAACTACACTGACAAAGATATGAAATGGCATATGTAAAGGTTAATCATTGAGGCACTCAAGCTAAGATTGAAAACAAAACAATGTCATTCCACAGAGGACTGATGGAATAAACTGTGACATATCTACCCAGTAGAATAGTAGGCAGGTATAAAAAGAAATTTTTAAAAATCTTCATAGATTACATACTGTATTTGTCAGTAGATTCAGTTACCTTACTTTAAGGCTAATCCAAAACTACTTCTAACAAAACACTATATTATGGGCATTAGAATTTCTCTTTCCTCATATATTTGTGTTTCATGGTTATACTTAAAAGCAATAAAATGGGTGCTCCCTTGTGGCACAGCAGGTTAGAGCA